CAAGCAAGCCAAAGAAAGGTCAGTTCAAGTACATCCCTAAATTATTCCTTTATTACCTAAATACATCCTTTTTTATATATGCTGTTTTGATCTGTGCAAAAAATGGATTCGCAAAAAGCATTAAAAACTAAAAAGAAAGTTTTAGAGATGAAGCTAACGAAATTAGAAAATCAATGCCAAAAAATACTAAAGTTGCCGATGTCTGAATTAAATAGTAGTGATCTCAGTAATCGTTTAGATAAATTAAATACTTTAAATAAAGATTAAATAGAGAAAACGTAATTATTAATTTAGTTATTATCAATGAGGACGAGGAGGAGTCGAATAAGCTATGCGAGATCGATCTCTTCAAAGTCATTGATACTTGTGATCGATTAAAAGAAATGTTATATTCTTTAAGGGGGCGATACATGTAAAAAAAAAATAATCGATTTTTTTTCATAAATCGTTAGAATAAAATCTCAAAAATATGCCTGTAAATATTCAAAACAAAATATCATTATTTATACATTAAAAACTCATCCAACTCCATTACATCCAACTCCATTACATCCTAATGTTCAACCTCATATTAAGCCAATTTTTGACGATTTATCTCGGGATGACTTGCTTGAACGATGTTTAGGAGGTCACACTCAGAATGCAAATGAAAGTTATAATTCTACTGTCTGGCGCCTCTGTCCAAAACATCTCAACCCTGGACGGAAGATCGTAGAGATCAGTGCTTTTATATCTGCAGGGTTGTTCAATGATGGGTTAAATTTTATCTTACAACTTATGAACTCACTGCAAATTGTTATTGGCCGCCAATCCATGTCATATAAAGAGAAAATCGATGAGCAAAGAGTGAATCGAGAAAATCGCCGCAGCTCTTTGACCACCAAACAAGCTCGTCAAGCATGTCTGCACTCTGCAGGAACTTGCAAAGAAAAACGAGTTCCTTCAACGTACCGAAGGACTTCTATATGGCCCTGGAATTGTCAAAACCTTAAACGCGTTTTTCTCAAAACGACATTTTTGAAATTTGCGGGTGGGATAACTCAAAAAGTTCTCGACCGATTCCAATAAAATTTTGCACACATCTACTTTACAGTGATAGCTTCTAGTTAAACCTCAAACATTCCAAAAAAATTCAAAAATTAACCCTTTTACCAAAAAAAAAACATTGAAAAAAAGGTGAAAAATCGAACGTTTTTTTTCTGAGGTGTGCAAATTTACGATTATGTGACTTTTTTAATTTTTTTTTGGTTTAACTAGAAGATATATGTTTTATGAACACGTACAAACTAATTTTTTTGATTTCTGATCACCGTACGAAAAGTGAGAACGCCCGCAAATTGATGGCTTTTTCCGAGAGGGTCTTGGCAGACTTATTTTTACGGCAGCCATTTAAAAAAAAATTAAAAAAAAATTGTTTTGTATTTTAATATATAATAAATAACCCTAAAAAAGTTCAAAAAGATTCAGTCATTCCTTCCCAGTTTAAAAAGTCCTCAAAAATGGTAAAAATTAAGGCGATTACATGTATCGCCCCCCTTAATCAATAAAATGCCTACTATCAAATTTCATGAACTCACATCTTTAAATAGCGTTAGGGATACATCACATGGGATCTCAACACCTTGCAATGTGTATTATGTCAAAAGGCTCATTCATTATATAATTGTGAAGAATTTCGAAAATTAACAGTCAAAGAAAGAATATCGCAAGCCCAGCGATTAAGAGTCTGTACGAATTGCTTAAAAAGAAATCACCATAGCAATAATTGTCAATTCTCATGTCGTTGCGGAGTTTGCCAGAAAAAACATAATACACACATACATTGCATTGTGAAGAGCCAGCAAAAAATCTATCAATTAGAACATCTTTTTTTAATAATGAAAATAACCAAAATGAAACCTTATTAAATCAATGGTATTTTGACGGTAGATTCAACGTGCAAAATACAATACAATAAAATTAATTTAGGTAACTCTAAACAGATCACATTGAAACGATCCGCGCCCATTTTGATACAAAATTATTTAAAGAGTGTAAAAATTTTACAATTAAATATTCAAAATCTTTCTATATGAGAGAAGTCAATAAACTTTTATAATCAATAAATTCATATTTTTTGCATCATCATTTGATAATTAAAACGGAAGTTTCAGCCAAATTGAGTGTGGTATTTGACACCTCATGTATTACAAATAACAGTCGGTCCCTTAATAATTTACAATCAGTAGGGCCAGCTAAACAAACTGATATATTTTTCAAACATTTAGGATTTACTTCGCACATTTGCCTGATGGCAGCTGATTTTGAAAGGTTGCATCGGTCAGTTACAATTCACAAAGATGATAGGAAATTAACTATTCGGTGCGATAATACTAATAATCTCATAAAACTTTTTGATTTGAATACTTCAACATACAGCACGGCGTCTGCTCCGTTATTAGAATTATTATGTTTTGAGCAGTTTTGTAAAGAAATTTATAAGAGTTTTCCCACTAAATTTGAAATAGTCAAAAGCGATTTTGATTTCGATTATTTAATTACCGGAGCGGATACAGTGTCGCAGTTACAAACTTATAAGCAGAATTTACTAAATATGTTGAATCAAACATTCTACGTAAAATTTATTAATAATTACTTAGATTGCTCACAATCAATACAAATTTTAGCGACAAAATCGCGGGTTGCTCCATTTCGCAACATTATTTTATCACGATTGGAACAATGCGCGGATTACTTATTATAAAAATTTATTAATGAAGTTAAATGTTATTTTGAAAATTCGATTAACCTCAAATTACTTTGGAGCAATTTTAAACTAGTATTGGCATGGATTAATACTGCCAATTTAATTCCTTTAGCGGGAGATATAATTAATAAAAATTTGTGGTGGTTCGATCCGTCGTGGTTGAAAACTACTGGCAAACTCACTTTTGACGTTGGAAAATCAAAGATAAAATTGAACAAGCAACGTTAACGGTAATAGAGCAAACCATAAATATTAGGTTGTCAAATATCTCCCTTCCGCTTTTTTGCTATTGGTTTATAATACAAAAAGGATATTTGACAACCTAATATTATATTTAAAATATATTCGTAGTTTACAAATTTAATTAGAGTATTCAGAAAACTTACTCGTTTATTGAGAAATTGTTCAAGCAAGAGTAAACGTACATGCGGCGAGTTAATAACCATCAGCATTTAGGTTCGTTCAGAAATAGTTATATTAACACGAACCGAAATGAAATAAATATTTAAAAAATTACTAATAAAAGTTAGTTAAATCAGATGTAAAAACGTTCTACCCATTGTTAGACGCATTCGCGTTGTAATAAGTTTTTAGATTTAAATTACTATAATCCTTACCCAGATGTGCTACTAAAAATAATGCACTTTCTTCGCTAATTGCCAGATGTAAATTTATTACATTTTTTTATTATGCAGCTCATAATTTATTATATACGCTCAGAGATTGTGCATATCAGCGATAGAAGTGCAGTTTCGTCCGTTTCCAAGTCGTAAGTCGTATTTCGATGGGTAACGTATCAAAAAATCATGTGACTTTGCAATTACCACCCACAGGCTTTGTAGGATGGACTTCGATTATTTCGATAGATCCTCGTACTAGAGGTTTTAGAAAAATCAAAGAGACATATGTTTATTTGTATGCTTCAGTACTGGAGCTGTTCATTTATTTTTTGTATCAAATTCAATGTTAGAATATTGTTTAGCTACCCTCAGACGATTTATTATTCGTCGAGGAAAATCTATTTTTAGCATTTGTTCAGACAGCGGTAAAAAATTTTTGAAGCGTCCTTGGCAATTAAAGAACCATGCTATATTTTATAAATAAACTAAGTGAAGTGTACAAAATAATGGAAGAAAACAATTTTATGACAAACAATTTAATACAATTCAATAACCTTCAATTAGTGACATGAGTTAGTGAAGTTTAAATTATTTACTTTGTATTACTTTCTTAATTACTTTTTCAATTACTTATATTATTAGGCTTATAATTAATGTATCATTAGTTTCGAAATAATATTAGTATTATTTCAAGGTGCCCGCAATGTTAAGAATTCGTAATAGTGTAACATAAAGTATTTTTTGTAAGGGTCGTCTGTTATGCTAGACTAGAGTGTCGCCGGACACTGTCTACATGTCGTTCATAGTTCAAGTACTAAATGCATTAGTAACATAAGATATTTTTAATTTTGATGTAAGTTATTTGTCTGGACTGTCTATATCCGCGTCGATGATTTTATTTATGGGTCTGCAAAATGCCTTCAGATAATTTCAAGAAATCATCCTTCTCAGATATATTAAGTCCAATAAATCATCCCCCGTAAATGTACAAATTAATGCAACCGGCCTCTTACGGGGCGGGGCGGGGCTAATATTATTAATCTTAATTTTTAAAAAAAATTATTTAGTATAAGTTCAGAGCTCAGTATAGAAACACCAACTATCTGATGCCATTATATCCATCATATTTTATTATAATAAACCTATATTAATATCAAACGTCGCCTTTTACTTAAATAATCACCGATCACACCAGCACTTCAATTATAGAACAAATTTAAAAGTGTAGTGGTTAGAAGTAAAACGACAACACCCAGTTAGACGTCGAAGTAATTTTTAAGCTTCGCGCCTTAACAATTAGTGTCGAAACATTCCCTCTGTACACGTTGTTTACTACCTGCACATGATGTTAAAAAATGTAGTTGCAAAGGTACGTGTTACAGATGTAGAGAGCCGCACAATACCTTAAATTCATGATGATGTTAATCCTTCAAATTCAAATAGCCTACCACCCCCTTCAAGCTAGTCACAATAACATACAAACAGTTCTTTCAACGGTTTCTCTTTATGTTTTCGATGCAAATGGTAAAACCCACCAGGTGAGGGCTCTACTGGATAGTGGCTCACAAATAAACTTAATAACCAATTCATTAATACAAAAATTAAAATGTCCTACAATAGCTTCTTTAAGTAAGATGAACATGTTGCAAGGGCAATCATGTGTGAGTCAGAAAGCTGGTAAAATTAAAATCAAATCTAGAATTTCAGAATATCAACGCACCATTCATTGCGTAGTTGTTGATCACATTACACAAAATTTACCGAGTAGTTGCATATAGTCTATAAAGATTGGAAAATACCCAATTATGTAGACTTAGCCGATCCAGAATTTAATGTCGCGTTACCTGTAGAATTATTAATAGGTTCTGAGTTATATTTTGATATCTTGCAACAGGGCTGCGTACGGTTGGGACATTGTCTACCAGTACTAAGAAAAAGTCACTTTGGTTGGTTGTTGTCAGGGATTTATGAACAGTCGGATTCTGTAGCTCATGTTGGCTTTGTTTCGAATGAAGACTTGCACAATAACCTAGCAAGGTTTTGGCAAATTGAGGAGGAATCTTCAAGCAATGTCACAATGAATGGGTCGGATAAGTTGTGCGAGGAGCATTTTGTGTCCAACGTAAGTAGGAAAAATAATGGCATATTCGAGGTTGCCTTACCCTTTAAATCAGATAAGAAAGGCAGCTTAGGAGAATCATTCAATAGGGCAAAATGCAGGTTGGAAAATTTAGAAAGACGTTTTACCCGAGATACGAAATTAGCTAAGGCATACAATGAGTTCATCCAAGAATACATCAGATTAGGACATGCAGAGCTTATTGACTTGAAGAAGGTTCCAGTAGGGTCATACTTTATACCGCATCATGCAGTATTAAAGGATGGGCGTTATGAAAAGATCAGGGTTGTATTTGATGCATCTTGTAAGACAAGTTCTGGCCTATCTTTAAATGAGACATTACACACTGGACCTAAACTTCAGCAAGATTTATTTTCAATCTTGATTAGATTTCGCTTTCATCTGTATGTTTTTGTTGCTGACATAGTAAAAATGTATAGGCAAATACGAGTTCGGGAAGCAGACCAATACTATCAACTCATTCCTTGGAGAACATCACCTGAGTCTGAAATAGAAGTCTTTAAGCTTACTACCGTTACGTATGGAACCGCATGTGCTCCTTTCTTAGCGATACGTTGTCTAAAAATGTTGACGTCTAATGAAAATTTGTTATACCCTCTCGAGTTGCTGAAATCTTAGATAGGGATTGCTACGTGGATGATATAATTACAGGTACAAATTTCGTAGCAGATTTAATTAGTCTACAGAGAGATATAACTCAGGTACTTGGGGGGGGGAGGCTTTGCATTGCATAAATGGGCAAGCAACTCCAGTGAACTTATCAATTCTATACCACATCACAAACTAGATATGACAATTTCAAATTTTCAATTACAACCTGAGACCGTAAAGACATTGGGAATAGCGTGGAACCCAACAAGTGACATATTAAAGATAAATAAGACTGACGCAACACAAAACTCCAAGACAGTACCAAGTGACACGAAAAGATTTGTGTTATCTTCAATAGCTCAAATCTATGACCCGATAGGACTGATTGCACTCATAACAATCACTGCAAAAATAATCATGCAGAACCTTTGGAAAGAGAAAATTGACTGGCATGATGTGATCCCAGAATCTATTCAAAAAGATTGGAACAAATTTCGTGATGGGTTATCACATCTCATATTCCAGGTTGTATCTTCACAACAAATCCCATTTTAACCCTTTACGCTCCGTTGTCGGCTCCAGTTCGACATACAAGATGTGTTCCGCAACTCCGTTGTCGGACCCAGTCCGACACTCTCTGATCACATCAGAATGTTAACAAATATAACGAGTCACCAACTGTTGATGTTTGAAATTAACATTAAAACGCATTTGTAATAAAAAAAGAATTGCAAAACTGAAAAATATACTATTATTTGATAATATTTAACGGGATTAATTTTCGAGTGACTTACTCGAGATCTTTTGTAAAGACTTTATCTTATATAGAATACATTGTTGTATGTATAGTTTATCGTTCTCGACATTCGTATAATCGCGATAATGGCTAAAAGACCAATTATTTTTACGAAAATACGGTTGCATTATGTTTCGTTTCAGAACTTTGTGATCTCTTGTGTGGTAAAGATGGAGAGCGAAAATTATGAAGAGTTTTTTGAAAATAGTGATTTGGAAGATGAACTAGATTTTGCCGTACTTGCCGAAAGTTCAAATGGAATATTCGTAAATGTTAGAGTGTGACAGTGATGCTAGTGATGATTGTAATGAAAGTGATGTTACCATAGCGCGTAAAAGACGAAGGATTCCAACTATTGAGTCTGATTTTGAGAATGAAGGGCATGCAGATTTCAATGGGTGGACTGATATATCAGGAAGTGATATCCCCTTACAAAATATTATGTTTTCAATAGGAGATAAAGTACCAGGACCGCAAATTTTCAACATTGACGAACCGATAGAATTTTTCAAATTGTATTTTACGGATGATCTTGTAGACGAAATTGTGGCGGAAACAAATAACTACGCTAAAATCAAATTAGAGAATAAAAATCTGCGTAAAGATTCTGTATGGCATACTTGGCGTGAAACGAATAGGGACGAATTTTTTGCCTTTTTTGGAGTCATCCTCAACATGGGTACGATGTACTTGCCAAATATGCAAGACTATTGGTCAACCAACAAGAATACTAAAATATATTTCTTTGCGAATGTATTCACAAGAAAAAGATTAAATCAAATATTTTGGATGCTGCATTTGAAGACAATCGACCCCCAACAAAGGTGCGTTAGGACACGAATTCAACGGGTGAGTGATTTTTTACAATATCTCAACTCAAAGTTTTCTGAATTTTTCGTACCCGGTCAAAATATCTGTGTTGATGAATCAGTTGTAAAATTCAAAGGAAAGATAAGTTTTATAACTCATAATCCAAATAAGCCTACCAAATGGGGCATAAGAATATACGTTTTAGCGGATTCCGAAACAGGGTATGTTTACAATATCCTTCCCTGTTATGGAAGTATCACATCAGAGAGTCTGATAAAACCGAATTTACCTGTCACCACCCGTATTCCATTACATTTATTCAATAACTTATTGACTAATGTACCAGGCGCACAAGGATACCATATGTTTACGGATAGATATTACACAAGTTTGCCATTGGCAGAGGAATTGTTGAAACAAAAATGCTATTTAACAGGTACATTAAAAATAAATAGAAAGGGAATACCGGATCCGATTAAAAAACCCAGATTTTCTGAAAATAAATGTATTGCATACAAAAATGCGACCACGATGTTATTGTCTTGGAAGGACAAAAGAGTAGTTACCCTATTGAGTACTAGCGATAGTGCCGGATTTATTACCAAAAAAAGGTTTTTCAGAGGAGGCGAGCAACCAAAAATCCAGGGTGATGTGATCAAACCAAAAGTAGTAGCGAATTACACAAATTCAATGGGCGGTGTTGATCGCGCTGATCAATACGCCTTCAGTTATTGTTTTCTTCGAAGATCCCTAAAGTGGTGGCGGAAAATGTTTTTTTGGGGCTTGGAAATGCCCAGTGTAAATTCATATATTCTATACAAAAGTCTTAAAAAAAATAAAAAATGAAAAACCATTATCTCACATACAGTTCGTGAAGCGATTAGTCGACCAATTAGTAGGCTAAATAACAAATTACACATTATGCGAAAAGGCAAGTGCAGTGACTGTGTTGTTTGTTCAAACAGAAAAGAGAAAGGAAAAAGGCGGGAAACGATCGAATTTTGCGATACTTGTCCTGGAAAACCACATATGCACGTAGGTGCTTGTTTTGAAAAATACCACACATTATATAGTTACAAATCGTAAAATTTAGAATTTTTTATGAAATATATCAATAACAATGTATATGAAATAATACTGTTAAAAAATAAATACTTTAATTCTTCTTTGTTCCTTTTTTTCATTATATAACAAACAAGCTTCCATGACAGATATTCCGCTAATATACTCACGGAGTTGCTGGCGAGTCACATGCGTCGACCGCGCGGAGCGTAAAGGGTTAATACAGTGTCATAGGTTTGCTGATGCTTTCCTTAAGGCATATGGCGCTTGTATTTATATAAGAGCCACATATGAGTTTGGTGTAAGAGCACATTTATTGTGCTCAAAATCGAAGATAGCCCCCCTTAAGAATATAACACTCCCCCGTTCAGAGTTGTCTGCAGCATTACTTCTGGCTAAACTGTATAGGTGGGTTCTCACAGACATAGCAGAAATTATTCAAATATCTGAAACATTCTTGTGGAGTGACTTCAGTATTGTTTTGGCATGGTTACAGACTGATCCCTCGCAGTTAAAGATGTTTGTAAGGAATAGGGTTGCGGAGATTTCAGAATTCACGCCAGTAATATTATGGAGGCACGTCCCAAGTAAAGACAATCCTCCAGATATAGTTTCCAGAGGCGTTGATTCTCCTGCAGAGCTGGTTGACTGTAAATTGTGGTGGCATGGACCAGGGTGGTTAACTTAGGATAGCAATAGTTGGCCTAATAGATTTTTCTGTCCAGCAGTAGAGGTCATACCAGACAAACGGGTGGTTATGACGTTGAGTAGTCCTAGTAATGAACGGACTGATATAATGCATGTATTTGGCAAATTTTCTTCTTTCTGTAAATTAGTTCGAGTGTTTCACAAATGTAAGAAATCCCAAATATTAGGCATCGGACAAACACTATCACCTTACGCATTGCGTCACTCGACAACTGTTATTTTTAAAGTAGTGCAGTGGGAAATGTTTGGCATGACTGCTAAGCCATGACAACAAATAAAAACCTGCTAAATATGAGTTCGAAGAAATGATTAAAGCAGGGACAGCACGACCGTCCAAGAGCTGTTGGTCATCGCCTTTACATATGGTACGAAAAGGTTCTGGGTGGCGACCTTGCGGAGACTATCGCAGTTTGCCATAATCCATGATTTTGCGCAAGCATTATGTGGTAAGGTAATGTTTTCTACTATCGATTTAGTGAAAGCTTACAATCAAATCCCTGTAGCTGAAGAAGACATTGCAAAGACTGCAATCACTACGCCTTTCGGGCTATTCGAATTTCCGTTTATGACATTTGGCTTACGCAATGCAGCGCAAACTTTTTAGCGGTTCATGGATGAAATTTTGCGAGGTTTGGACTTCTGTTATGCATACATCGATGATATATTGGTTGCATCGGAATCGCACGAACAGCATATGTGACATTTACATACTGTATTCAAAAAGTTGCAAGAATTCGGTGTTGTAGTCAATCCAATGAAATGTGTCTTCGGAAAAACAAAAGTAAAGTTTTTAGGATATGAAGTCTCAGCCAACGAAACTAAACCTCTAGCAGTCGAAATACTAGCTATACAAAATTGAGCACAAAGATAAATTACCGGCCGATGTTCGCACGTTATTGTGCACTCCAAAACACGCCACCGATGGTGTATAATTAATTAATGTTAAAAATTAATACATTCATTTTCGGGTAGAAGAAGGTATTCTACATTCCATTGACGAAGAGTTCGGTAGTGCCTTTTGGCCCATATCTCTGATGTTAGATATTCCACAAATGGTTGAACCATTTTTGGTAGGGGTGCATCATAGAAATGATAAACCAGATGATGCAAACATTTTCCTTAAGCCTTTCGTGCAAAAAATGAAAGTGTTACAACAACATGGTTTAATTTTTCTCAATAAAAATTGTCATGTTTATATATCAAAAATAATCTGTGATAATCCTGCGCGTGCGTTCATTACAAAGACAACTGGGCATGCGGGTTATGGAAGTTGCTCCAAATGTATTCAAGGAGGAGAGTTTTCAACCCATGTCATTTTAAATAACACATTTTCAGATCTTCGAACGGATGAATCTTTTCGCATGAGGACGAATCCAAGACATCACACACAAATGACTCCATTTTGAAGGAATTAAATATCGGAATGGTATCTCAAATATCACTCTACTACATGCATATGGTCTGCCTAAGTGTCACCAAGAGACTTTTAAGCCTTTGGGTAAAAGGGACGAGTGACGTCAAATTAGATGATAAAACCAGGGATACAGTGAGCGAATATTTACTAAAATTTAAAGCTCACATTCCAGCAGTATTTTCGAGATTACCCAAAGCGCTTAAAGAGTACATGAACTGGAAAGCCACAGAATTTAGG